CCCGAGGGGCCACTGTACCGTGTGGCTGGCACAGCCGTCTCCATCCTCTGCAATGTCACTGGCTACGAGGGCCCTGTCCAGCAGGACTTTGAGTGGTTCCTGTACAGGCCGGAGGCCCCAGATGCTGCACTGGGCATTGTCAGTACCAGGGATAGCCGGTTCTCCTATGCTGTCTTTGGGCCCCGCGTGGCGGCTGGTGAGGTACAGGTGCAGCGTCTGCAGGGTGATGCTGTGGTGCTGAAGATCGCTCGCCTGCAGGCCCAGGACGCTGGCATTTATGAGTGCTACACACCCTCTACTGATGCCCGCTACCTGGGCAGCTACAGCGGCAAGGTGGAACTGAGAGGTACTGGGCCCTAGGAAGGGGCGGGGCCACCTCCCCACATAAAGGGCAGAAAATTAGGGCTGGGAGGGACCTATCTAACCACCCCTCAGATTTTGCTGCCGAGGAACCTGAGGCCCAAAGAGGTTAAGACTTGCACAAAGTCACCCAACAAGTTAGTGGCTGGTCTGGGACTCGAAACCATTCTAGTCCGCTGCTCTTATTCTATGATGATACCTCCTAGGAGAGCAGAAGTGTCCTTAAGCTGGTCCCCTCTCCACTCCATGAAAGAGTGAATCAACTCCCATCCCTGGAGATTCCAGGATCCAGATCTGGGGGAAGAGGGGAGAAAGCAGAGGTAGAGTAGGACGAGTGACACCGTGTGATATTCTTGCTCTTTTCTTTGTCTTCTGAGAAGGAAAACAGAACTACTTTTTGAGTATTTCAAACAGGTCAGTCCCAAACATAAGGATGAAGGTGATGGGCTGGTTCTGTGAAATTCAACAAATATTTATTGAGCTCCTGTTGTGTTCCCAGCTCTGTGCTCAGCACCACTGGGTTACAGAAGAAATAACACACCATCAAATCTTCCCCCTCTAGGAGCTCACAGTCTATTTCGGGAAACAGGTTGCATGTAGGAAACAGTAGCTCCCAGCCCTCCTTCACTCCAGCTGTTCTCTCCAGTTCTTCCAGATGGGCTGCAGGTGTCTGCTACCGCCCCAGGGCCCCGAGGCCGCCAGGCCCCAACTTCTCCCCCTCGCCTAACAGTGCATGAGGGGCAGGAGCTGGCACTGGGCTGCCTGGCGCGGTCGAGCACACAGAAGCACACACACCTGGCGGTGTCCTTTGGACGAGCCATGCCTGAGGCGCCAGTGGGGCGAGGGACTCTGCAGGAAGTGGTGGGACTCCGGCCTGACCTGGCTGTGGAGGCCGGTGCTCCCTACGCTGAGCGGCTGGCTGCAGGGGAACTGCGGCTGGGCAAGGAGGGGGCTGAGCGGTACCGCATGGTGGTGGGGGGTGCCCAGGCGGAGGATGCTGGCACCTACCACTGTACTGCTGCTGAGTGGATTCAGGATCCTGATGGCAGTTGGGCCCAGATTGCGGAGAAGAGGGCTGTCCTGGCCCATGTGGATGTGCAGACGCTGTGTGAGTACAGGAGCTGGGAGCCGTGGTATCTCAGTGGGGACTGGGGGCACCAGATGGTCGTAGACCAGGGCGCACACCTTTCCTAGAGTGAGCAGTTGTTAGCATCACTTCCCTCTATACCACCCATGACAGTTTCCTCTGCTCAGAGTTGAATATGGAGGTAGGGCCATGGCTGAGGGGTGTATTGGGCCCCTGGGTATGGGAGATGGTCATACCATGTGCGAGTCAGATGGGCGGCCTCAAAGTTGCTGCTGTCAAGCAAACTACAGCTGGGGAGTCAGGTGTCCTTCCTGCCTCCATGACACCCCTTCCCCGTCCTTTGTTTCAGCCAGCCAGCTGGCAGTGGCAGTGGGGCCTGGTGAACGTCGGATTGGCCCAGGGGAGCCCTTGGAACTGCTGTGCAATGTGTCAGGGGCACTGCCCCCACCAGGCCGTCATGCTGCGTACTCTGTGGGCTGGGAGATGGCACCTGCAGGGGCACCTGGGCCTGGCCGCCTTGTAGCCCAGTTGGACACAGAGGGTGTGGGCAGCCTGGGCCCTGGCTATGAGGGCCGGCACATTGCCATGGAGAAGGTGGCATCCAGAACCTACCGGCTACGGCTGGAGGCTGCCCGGCCTAGTGATGCAGGCACTTACCGCTGCCTTGCCAAGGCCTACATCCGAGGGTCTGGGGCCCGGCTTCGTGAAGCAGCCAGTGCCCGCTCCCGACCCCTCCCCGTGCACGTGCGGGAGGAAGGTGAGAGGGGTGGGTTGGACTTGTGGAACCATTTTCCTTCTGTGTCTATGTTTCTCTCCCTCATCATCAGCTGCCTCCATACCTCAGTCTCACACGCTTTTTCTAAGGTTGTGGGAACACCTTGAGTTTCCTGGGGTGTTGCTTGGACAGCGATCCTGACCCCATGCCCCCTCCACCTTCATCCTCTGACCCCATGGCCTTTGTTGTGCAGGTGTGGTGCTGGAGGCTGTGGCGTGGCTGGCAGGAGGCGCAGTGTATCGCGGGGAGACCGCCTCCCTGCTCTGCAACATCTCTGTGCGGGGTGGGCCCCCAGGGCTGCGGTTGGCCACCAGCTGGTGGGTGGAGCGACCTGAGGATGGAGAGCAGAGCTCAGCCTCTGCCCAGCTAGTGGGTGGCGTGGGCCAGGATGGTGTGGCAGAGCTGGGGGTCCGGCCTGGAGGAAGCCCTATCAGCGTGGAGCTTGTGGGGCCCCGAAGCCACCGGCTGAGACTACACAGCTTGGGGCCCGAGGACGAAGGCGTGTACCACTGTGCCCCCAGCGCCTGGGTGCAGCATGCCGACTACAGCTGGTACCAGGCAGGCAGTGCCCGCTCGGGACCTGTCACAGTCTACCCCTACACGCATGGTGAGTGACTCCTGCCCTCCTCTCTTCACTCACTGCCTTCCTCCAGTGCCACACTCACTCGTCCCTTTCCATCTGATCCTCCTGCTACTGTCCCCTCTTTCTCTCTGCATCACTTCACATGAAGAGACCTGAAAATCCAGCTTTCAGCCCCCAGTGCCCATCTGCCTCAGGGTTCTTGGTAGATTTTGACTTGAATGCAGAGAGGGCAGGGAGTGGGCCAGAGAGAGCTGTCTGGGAATGGGGAGGAGGTGGGTGCAGACAACTTGATAGAGAAGGTGCTGGGACTCCCATGGGACAGTGGGTGGAGGGTAGCGGCACCCCAGGCTGAACACAGCCATCCTCTCTCACCTAGCCCTGGACACCCTGCTCGTGCCCCTGCTGGTGGGTGCAGGGGTTGCCCTCGTCATCGGCGCCACTGTCCTTGGTACCATCACCTGCTGCTTCATGAAGAGGTTGCGAAGAAAACAGTGATCCCTCCCTTCCCCAGCCCAGCCCAGGTAAGGCTCGAGAACTCCCAGCCTTGCCTTCCGAGGCCTTGAGATGAGCTGCTGGCTCCTCAGCTCCACCTGGAGGAGGGGCCAGCTCACAGTTCTTCAGGACCTTGTTGACGGGGTGAGGGCTGGGACGAGCCCCACTCAGGGCTCTTCTTAGCTCACTCCATGCTCTCTCCAGTTCGCGCAGGTCTTGACTGTCTTCCAGCCCGGCACCACGCCCACCTCCGGTTGCCCGGATACCCTGTCCCTATGTCCCACCTTCCTTTAATTTATTTGACCTACTCCCACCCCAGTGGGGGCGCTCGGCCTCCATTTCCCGCTCCTCTGTTCCCGACTCCTCCCTCTGGCCTGTTCTTGATGTCATACCCAGCCTGAAGGGAGGCTTTCCCTGTTCCAGAATTCGTTTTTCTAAAATGTGAATAAACTTGTTTTATAAAATCCAGGGCTGGCTGTGTCTTCCCTATCATAAGGCCGTAAGAGGCTAGGGGTTGTGGCAGAGAGGTTGTTGGGGGTTGACAAACTATTCTGGATGACCCAGGCCTCTTTCCACCACAAACGCCATCTGGCGTCTGGGCCATGCCACCCACCCCAGGAAGGGACACCTGGATTCCATCTGCTGCCTGAGCAGTCAGTGTTGAGCCAATTCCTGTTGGGACTCCTACTCGGGGACGGGGGCACAGGAAGGAGGGTCCCCACTCCCAGGTTCTCCCAGGTTGCAGGGCACAGGCTTCCAGCAGCCAGTGCCCTTTGAGTTCCCTGCACCTCTCTGCTCTCTCATTCTGTTGGTCCAGCTGGTCTTGGACCTGACTCCTCCCATCAGCCCTGGGGCCTCAGCCTTTTTCCTCTTGATCTTCATTATTCAGTCTGACAGCAGCAGAATAGAAGCCCCAGAACACAGCTGCCTGGATGGCGGGTAAGTCAGGGGAGGTCTGTGTGTCCACAGAGCCCCTACATATGCCGCCCCCATAGCCTGCACGCACCCCCCCACCCAGGCCTTGCCTTACCCCTCTGCCTAAGAATTCTCTGATCTTAGAATTCTTATTGCATTGCACCTTAAGAGGCACCTGGTCTACCTCTTTTAATTCCGTTATTTAAACATTTATTGAGCATTATTTTAAAGATGGGGAGACTGAGGCCCAGAGAAGTGATGTGACTTACCCAAAGTCATAGAGCTAATTAGTGACAGTGTCACGACTAGAATCCAGGTCTCCTGACTTTTTGCACTGTACCCAGTAGTGCCCTGAGTGGTGACTAAGTGGTGAAGAAAGGTATGGCGGGGTCTCGGTAACTTCCATCCAGCCTCAGTTTCTCTGCCCATTCAATTGCAATGGGTTAACTACTGTGTATGTGTGTGTGTGTGTGTGTGTGTGTGTGTGTGTGTGTACAGAGAGCCCATTCCCTCCTACGTAGGCTCCAACCTTTTCACTGAATTAAGCCAAAATGACATGCCATCCTGCATCCCAACATTTGTTCTTGGGGGAATAAGTGACACCAGGGTTCCGGAACCTCATCTTTGACTGATGGTGACTCAGGTGGCCCTGTGACCTGAGGCAAAGATGTCCTCTCTGAGTGGACCCAAACTGGCACGGGCTCCCTCCAGGACCCCCATTCCTGCTTCCAAGAGGCACAGGTCCCACAGGACCTCAGCTTCCCAGCCTGGAATGGAGCAGACTTGGGTGCTTTTCTCCAAGGGGCTCAGACTTTTATTAAAGGACAGGAGTGGGGTATAGCCGGTATCAGAGGGCATGCCTGCCTGGGCACACACTTTTCTCCCAGGAGGCCAGCCTCCGGTCCCCTCCACCTCTGTCCCTTCTCAACTTGCCATTGATCTCCCTTCAGCATCCTGGGGGGCTGCCCCTGGTGACTGGAAAGGGGTTGGACATGACATGGGAACAGCATCTGAAGGGACTCCTGTCCTAGCTGGGCAGACGGCAGGCCACAGACATAGCCAGATGTTAGACGCCTTGCTTCTCTTTCACATTCTCTCCTACATTTAATCCTGTCTCCAAAGTCCTACAAGGGCACGTCCAGTATGTTCACTATAGCGTCTTCTGTTGACGTCTTTGCTGCAAGAATTTTTGTCCCAAACATTTTCACCACATAACTGGTGTGTATGCCATGTGTGTGTGTGTGTTTGGTTGAATTTTTCCATTGACTAATCAACCACCTTTAGTGGACTTAATATATTTGAGCTAATTGTCATTTTGGTTTCATTTCTCTGTTGATGAAATTCTCACACTCATTTTACATTCTATAAATTTTAGCTAGTTCTCATAACTGTCTACAGTGATGAGTAGATATGGTGGTATTCATCTTAATATAGTTAGCATTTCTTCCAGATGATGATGATATGCCCCGACAATTGGTTTCTTATTTTGAAACACGCTACATTGGGAGGAGAGAGGCCGAGGGCCCTCTTTGAAGGTGCAGAGTTGAACCCACATTTCCTATAGAATTAACACAAGTGCTTAGGTACAAACCACAAAATAAAATAAATTATTTGTGCAGTATTGCCATGAATCTACACACTTTTTAAATGTATTCAAATATTTTGTATTTTGCAATAAACTCTTTAATTTTGTTGTGTTCTTTTTTATGGTAAAATTACCTTATAGCCAATAAGTTATGTGGTGAAAATGTTTGCAGCCAAGATTCTTGTAGCAAAGATGCTCCTGTGAAAGTAAGAACCTACAAGGGATTCCCCCTTTTGCCACTTCCTCTTCCAACTCCCCACCACCTCTGCAGGAATTCCCTCGAGGTCTCCTTACTGCCTCCTGTCTCTCTTGCCTACTTATTTTCCCCAAACGTCATCTCTAGTTGCCACTACCCTATTTCCATTGACAGGTGAGTCCCTGGGCCCAGAAGCCTGGGTTTCAGGGCACTCTTTACTTACACACTAGACTTGATTCTTTCTATGGGTTGTCGGAAAAGTCATGACACATTTTCGCAACGAAAAACAGAAAAGTATGTCATGACTTTTCCGACAACCCAGTATTTCAGTCTGCACCCCAAGGATCCTCAGCTTCTCAGCTACTCCGCAGCTTGTATGCCCCGCCTCCTGATACAACCCCCAGGTCTTTGCTTAGAGCAGTGGCTCTCAAACTGTAGTCCCCATTCCAGTATCAGCATGGCCTGGGAACTTATTAGAAATGCAAATATTTGGTCTCCACCCCAGATCTATTGAGTCAGAAGGTCTGGGAGTGGGGCCAGCAGTGTTTCCACAAGCCCTCCAGGTGACTCTGATGCTATAGCTTCAGGCTTAGCTCATTCTCTGTGCCTTGTTCAAGCCTTAGCTTTCTGATTACCAAACCCTCCTACCCTTGCTTGGAGAGACTGCTCAGGTTCTTAATTTGCAACAGTTTCCATGGACATATTTCTCTGTTTCTCCCATGTGCACTGTATTCTGAAGACAGGAAACCAGTCTTGAACTGTTCACCCCCCATGTGCCTGGTTCAGTGTTCTGTACCCAATGGGTACCCAATGAACAATTTGCATGACTCCCTCTCACTGTGCCCCAAAACTAATTTTACTTTCCTAAGGGCCCCCGTGTCTCAGGTCTAGGGAACTCACTCTCTCCATCTCTCCCTGGCCCTGTTCCTCCTCAGAATCTCTCTCTCCCTTCCTACATCTGCAGAGGTACTTATGAAATCTTGCTCCACTGTCAGAAAAGAGCTCTCTTTTCCCAGGGACCCAGCTTTGGCAACTCCTACTTTCTGTTTCTCTGCTCAGGAGACAAGGTCATTCACACCCTGCTGATCCACCCCTAGTCTTGGTCCTCCCACTCAGCCTGTCACAGTGGTGAGGGTGGGCCTGGGAGGGCACCCTCCTTATTTATCTCTGCCCACCTCCATCCAGCTTTCTCTCCACTGGGTCAGCTGGGGCTACTGTGTCCAGTGAGACAGGGTGTGCCATACACAACGCAAACTCTGCTCCCAAAGCCACTCACGCTGGTTTGCGGTAACATCAGTCTGGAGAAAAAGGGTGCCTTTTTACAATTTGCACAAAGATGCTTTATGGGTTAGTAGCAGCCCTGAGTATATCACCTGTCTATTGGTCCATTTACCTATCTACCAGCTATCTCTCTCTGCTTCCACCTTTCCATCCGACCCATATAAGTCCATCCTTCTGTCCATCCATCCACCCATGAACAGATGTGAAGGTCAAACACAGACAGGCTGGTAAGCTCACCCATTCCTGACCCTCCATCCTCCTGAAATCAGGATCCCTTCCTTCAGCATTGGATCCTGGACTCAAACTTCTGAGAGGCTTCTCCAGACTTAATGCATTCCAAGGGACCTCGCCTGCCTCCTTCTCCACCTCCAATATCCAGCTCCCCAGGTACCTGGGTCTGGCCCTGCCACATGGGTCTGGAGGAAACTGGTCACACCTTGGACTCACCCTCTGGGGGTGGCAAACAGCCATTCTGCCCCTTGTCAGCCCCTGCCCCTCCCCCTGCCCCTTCCCCCACCCCTTCCTCCTCCACCTTCTCATCCAGCCGGCTGGGGATAGACCAGTAGAGATGGGCGTCAAGACGGGCAGCTGTCTCAGCCAGCTCCCGGGCACTACACGAGGGTGTGGGCACCTCAAAGGTCTGGTGGAAGCTGGCATAATCCACCTCGTAGAAACCGTCCTCCAGGGTTAGCACTGATGTGAAGCGGTGGCCCCACAGCACCTCATCCACCAAGTAGGAGCTCCGAGCTTGGCATGTCATTCCTGGGGGGAGGGGCATGAGTAAGGGAGAAGCCCAGCCCCAGGCTTCCCTCAGCTGCCTCTAACTCCACAGCCCTATTCCCAGCACCCTTCCCTATATCCCTCCCAAAGGGCCCCACCCCCTTCAGTCCAGCCTACCTTCTCCCCTTCCCGGCTTCGGTACTTGCTCAGCGCTCTCACCTCTTTTCCAATGCCCAGCTCCTCTTCATCTCCAACCCACTCTCTCCCCTCCTCTCCATGGGAGATGCCAATCAGAGCTTAACCTTGAAATTGACCTTGGGGATCAAGAAGTGCAACTTCCCTCTCCATACAGGGCTCCCACTGGAGCATTCCCAATGGTGGGCAGCTGGCTTGTACCTGATTACCTCCCAGAAATGAGAGCTCACAACCTCACAAGCTCCCACTCCTCTGCATGATGGCTCTAACAGTTGGGTTGTTCTTCATTTAGAGCTAAAATCTGCCTCCCAGGATTTCCACTCCTTGGTTTCATGCCCCTGCCATATGATAGACACCCCTTTAAATATCTAAAAACAGGAGTCTCAGGTTCCATCACGTCTTCTCTTCTTTAGGCTGAACATCCCTGTCACCTCCACCGTTTCTCATGTGACCTGGATTCCCAACATTTTACTTACTTGACTGTAAACCAAATGGCAAAGGAGGATCCTTTAAGCACTTTGTTATAAACGCTCCAATCATGGCCTGATCCTTGCATGAGACAGGGCTCACCACCTTTTTTTTAGCCATGATGCTTTAGCTAATAGGGCCCAAGGTTACATTACATAAACATTTTGGAAACTGTATCACATTGCTATGACATCAAGCCCGTGGCCAACTAAAACCCCCAGTTCTTTTTCACCAGAGCTCTTCCATGCTGTGCTTACATAAGTGATCTTTTTTTTTTTTAAGCCTAAATGTAGAGTTTTATATTTATTCCTTTTAAATGTCATCTTGTTGGGTTTTGGCTCATTATACTTGCTTTTCAAAAGCATTTTGGATTCTGACTCTTCACCCAAAATATTACCATCCTTTCCGGCTTTGTCTCAGACAAGCTCCCTTCCCTACCTTCATCTCACCCTCCTTGCCCTGGGCCTGTGTCCTGTCCTCCATGATGGGTGGGCACACCCACAGGGCAAGTGATTTTCCTCCTACCCCAGGGTCTCCCCTATCCACCTCAGCCTATGAGCACCTCAGAACAAGGGGAAACAGAAGAGTGAACATCAGCTAACCAGAGACAAGCTCCTACCACTGCAATCCCCACCCTGAGACATCTTAGGGTCACCGGTATCCTTAGTGTCTTTGATGAATCTGGAATAAGAAGTATCCGGTGGGGGAGGGGAAGAAGAGGCAAAAGGGACAATGGGGAGAGGGGAGCTGAGAGGAAGAGAGGAAGGGTCTGGGGTGACAAAGGGAGAAGTGGGCTGGAGAGGGACTTCTCTGTAAGGGGAGGGGCTGCCTCCTATACTGGCAAAATGGTGTGAGCTAGAGGGATACAGAGGAAAGGGGGAGGGGTGAATGGGGTAGGGAAAGAGCTAGGGGGAGCCTGGGGGTGGTGAAGAAGGAATGGGGAACACTGAGGCAGAGGGTGGTATGTTGAGGCTCAGCTTGAAGGGACTAAGAAGGGGGTTAGGAGGCGCCAGCTTGTGGGAGAAGCCAGCAAAGGGCATCACCTCTGAAAACAGGAACTGCAGCCTGCTCATGGGCCTTTGGTTATCCACTTGCAGTTTTCTAATCCTTCTGCCACTCCTAGATCTCAAGTCATGAAGGACTTCAATTGCTGCCCTGGCACTGGCCTTTTCCTATCTGCTCCCAAGCCCTTCAACTGTAGGCTTGAGTTGGAGGTACTGACATCACAGGTGTGTTGCCAGTTCCTTCTGGGAGGCTGCTAGAATAAACGCTAGGATCATCTATTTCCGTTGTCAGTGGAAGCTGAAAAATCTTTTGATGAATGGGGAAACTGAGGCAGAAGTGAGGCCAGGTATCAACCTCTCCCTCAAGTCCAGCCTAGGAATAACTCAGGTCATGGAAAAGCCTCCCCACCCAATTCAAGGGGCCTGGACCTCTCAGAATGACAAAAACGGCAAACCTAACCCCTACTTCCAATTTCATACCACTAAACACGGAAGCCAGACTGCCTGTGTCCTCTCTACCGCATGGCCACTTAATAGCTTATGGCTGTGGACAACTTACTTAACCTTTCATTGGGGCAATCTCCTTTTTAAAAAATGAGCACAATAACAAGAAGTTATCTTCATGGGGTTCTCCTTAAGATTAAATTAACTCAGAGGGCTAAGATGCTTTGGAGTTGTGCAGGGCACAGAGCAAACACAGGGTGAGTGGTAGCTATTATTAGCCCTTCCACCTATTCCCAGGAACACAGACCTCTCAACCCCAGGTCCCAGGCCAGGGCCCCTTTGGGGAATCGCTCCAAGCTTTCTCTGGGCTCTCTATGGAGTCACTCTGCTAACACGCCTCTCCCAACAGAGGTCCCCCATCTCCCCTCACTCTCTCACACTCCACCAGCCTCTCTGCCTCTCCTCTCCTCGGTCCCTGGCCTCTCCTCTTGCCCCTGAGTTCCTCTGCTGTGCCCTCCCCCGCCCGGGCCCCTCTGAATCAGGTTCCCCATCCACCCCATTCCCCTCCTCCTGCTCCCCCGCACCCGTGGCTTCCACCATGCCCTCGAGGATGACGACGATCTCGAAGTCGTCCCTCTCCAGGGCGCGGCGCGACGCCTCCCAGAAGGGGCTGGCGGCGTCGATCTCGTGGCTGATGACGAGCGGCGAGACGAGGAAGAGGCGGTCGTCGCCCGTGTCGAAGCCCACACTGAGGTCGGTCTGGTGCAGGGGGATGAACTCGCCCTCGAGCGTCTGGCGCGATCGGATGAGCTTGGCGCGAATGGAGGCCTCGACGATGTGGGACGAGCGCAGGTCACCCACGCGGAACATGAGGCAGAGGCGGCCGTCGCGCAGCGACACCACGGCGTGCGAGGAGAAGACCAGCGTGGCCGCGCGCTTGTTGGGCTGCGAGATCTTGACGAACATGCAGCCCACCATGAAGGCGTTCACCATGGAGCCCAGGATGGCCTGCAGCAGCAGCAGCACGATGCCCTCGGGGCACTGGTCGGTGATGACGCGGTGCCCGTAGCCGATGGTGGTCTCCGTCTCGATGGAGAAGAGGAAGGCGGCCACGAAGCCGTTGAGGTTGTTGACGCAGGGCGTCCAGGCCGTGTCCTCCAGGTGCTCCAGGTCGCCGCGGCCGTAGGCGATGAGCCACCAGATGGCGCCGAAGAAGAGCCAGGTGAGCGCGTAGGCGAGCACGAAGAAGAGCAGGCTGAGGCGCCACTGCAGGTCGACCAGCGTGGTGAACAGGTCGGTCAGGTAGCGGTAGGTCTCGCGCACGTTGCCCTGCTGCACGTTGCAGCGGCCGTCCTTCTCCACGTAGCGCTGGCGGCCGCGGCGCCGGGGCGGCTCCTCCCGGCCCGAGGCGGAGGCGGCGTTCTCCTGCGCCATGGCAGCGGCGCCCGGCGAGGTCGGGGTCAGCGCCGCCGCCGCCCGCCGCCCCTCGGTCTGCGCCTCGGCGTGCTCGCAGCTGCTGCAGGGACTGAAAGATGGGCAGAGTTAACCGACCCCGCGGGCGAGGCGGCGACAGCCAGACCGGCCCCGAGGGGTTGAGGGGTCCTGAGCCGAGGCACTGCACGCCCCTCGGCCTCAGCCTCCGCATCGGTGCTGTGGGAACGATACGTACAACGCTCGCTGCCCCCGTAGCTCACAAAACCGCGAGCATCAAATGGGATAACGTATTTGAACCGGGTTGCACTATGCAAGTTGGATGATTATTTTCGGGGTACGGTGGTGCCAGAGATCTTGGCCCTACCACAGGCAGTCCTACTTCCACAGGCTTCCCCCCGGGCGAGAGGCCCCAGCAGGGAGGCAATTTCCTGAACTCGTTACACTGTGGGCTCCTTGAAGGCAGGCAATTCATCTCCCTCTACTGCACGCCCCCTCCTTGGCTATTGTCAGCGCAGCCTCGTAGTCCCAGAATCGCTGTTCTCCGCAATTCAACCTGATGGTCTAACCAGGCTCTTCTGAAGTTCATCCCAAGACTGACACACAGAAAACCTTTCCCGTTCCTCCCTCCCTGGACCTCACTGTACCCTCACCCACATCTTCCTCCTCTCAACAAGCTTACAATGGAGATTTGGAAGTGATGGAGAGTACCGTATTTCCCCATGTATAAGATGCTCCCATGTATAAGATGCACCTTAATTTTAGGTCCCGGAATTTGAAAAGAAATGTATTACATAAAGTTATTGAACTCAAGTTTTAGTCATCATAAAATTCATACAACTCCTCATCACTGTCAAAACTCCCAACCATTAGCTTGTCCTCATCCGTGTCTGATGACGAATCACTGTCTTCATATATTGCCTTATCCTCAATGGGAAATGCAAGTAAAAAAATCTACAACCACTGTATAAGACGCACCCAGTTTTTAGACCCCAAATTTTTTGAAGAAGGGTGTGTCTTGTACATGGGGAAATATGGTAAGTGAAAAATCTCCAATGGGCAAGGATTGAAAACTCCCATACTAGGAAATTCCCGCTGAAACCCCTCCCTGAGGAGTAACCATGCTATTTGCTGCTGTAGAATCACCCTATTTTCCCTGGGTTCTTTCCACAGCAGAGACAGCCTGAAAATGGGCCTGAGGACTGGAGGATATGCCATCAACGCAGAGGCCAGCGGGTAAAGAAAGCACAGAATTCCTCATGAGTTAGGTTTGTGTTCCTCTACTCTCCTATTCTTAATGATATGCAGCAAATCAGATACAGGGAAGCACTAAGCACCCACGTTTATCGCCCCCTTCGCTCCAGCTCTTTACTCCAGCATCTTACCTCTCACTGATTATCCTAACAGCCCCCTCATATGCCCCAAAGCTCACATTCCAGGGGAAGCCCACCTGGTTTTGCCTCAAATCCAAGTGGAGGAGCTCTGTGAGCTGCAGTCTGCCCTGAGAGAGAGAGCCAAGGCCCTCCCCCAGGCACGCAGGGGCCCCTAGGAGCTGTGGCTCATATAGGAAAGGTTCAGAAAAAAGAGACTTCTCCACCTCCCTTCTTCTTGGGAATCATCTTCTCCTGCCTTCAAAGAAATCTGAGCTGGTTGGGTTGACATATGGGAAGGAAGGCGTGTGACATGAGGATCACAGATGGGCTGGATGTTTGACCAGGTCCTGGGGAGAAACCACCTGGATATGTAACCCCAAACCCAGGGCTCCAGGATTTAAGTTCTGGGGTGAGGTGCTCTGCATCCAAACCTTTGGAGGCTGTGTGTGTGTGTGTGTGTGTGTGTGTGTGTGTGTGTGTGTGTATTGGCGCAGGAGGAGAAACTAGTAAGAGATGGCTTAGAGCTTAGGGGCACCACCACATTTATTTTCCAGGAGAAGTNTGTGTGTGTGTGTGTGTGTGTGTGTGTGTGTGTGTGTGTGTATTGGGGCAGGAGGAGAAACTAGTAAGAGATGGCTTAGAGCTTAGGGGCACCACCACATTTATTTTCCAGGAGAAGTCAGGGGACACAGGGTCCAGGAGTCCCAATGCAATGGCAGATTAGAGTCTTCCCCTCCCCCAACAATGGACTTCCCTTTCCCTCCCTGCAGCCCAAGATCTCTAAGCATGGATGGGCTCAGAGACCCCAAGTCATGCAGAAAATTACTTGGGTCCCACTTATCCCAGCTTCAGTCCCAGGTGGGCTTCTAGATGTTCTCTTGTATTAGGCAATCTGACCCCAATCCGCCTGCAGAGATAGACCTCTCTGCCCAGGGGTAGGGAAGGAACCCCAGCGTCTTATCATTCCCAGAATTCTTCGCTCCATTGCCCCAGGGGTCTAGGTGAGCCTTACTTTGATTTTGTCCCCTCTCCTGTCTTCTTGAGGGGAGCTGCATTTTTCTCAATGGGGAAGGAAAGGTGTGAAATTGTTACCTCTATCCCGGGATCAAAGACTTGATTTCTGCCCCTTCCCTCTAAAGAGTCCTGTTCCTCCAGGCTACTTCTCTTTATTTCTTGTGCATGCTGTAACCCCTTTCCAGAAGACCCCAGTGCCACATTTTCCTGGATCTCCCTTTCTCGCAGTGTGAAGTGCTGGCTATCAAGAGGGCTTATTTTTATTGAAGGGATTCTGGTGAAAACTCCCTCAGGACCCAGCTCCTCCCAAATCCCCGCTTGCCTTTGGAAATAGGGGCCCAAACCGAAGTCCCCCGCAACTCAACTCACAGCGTGCGGAGAGGAGAGCAGCCAGCAGCAAAGAGCCCTGGGGGGGAGCGGCCATGCCCCTGACACTGCCCCCACCCCTGGCCCTCATGGAGGGTGGGAGCCGCAGACACCGCTGTTTCTCCTCAATGTGGCAGCAGCTCTGACTACGACTCGCTATCTGTGTCATCCCCACTTCCCAGGCTCCCCTGCTCCTCTCCTGTTTCCACAGCAACCAGTCTGGCGACAGCGCTAGAGCATCCCCCTCCCCTCCCCACTCCTGGGTACCACTAGAGGCTGAGCCACATGCTATCGCTATTTTTAGCTCAAGTCCCTCCTCCTGGACAGCTCAGAGGCTCACCTCCTCACCCCCTCAGGGGGAAAAAAAAAAAGCTGACTTGCTGGCTCTTTTCTGAGAGGCTCCTTGCTCTGGGAAAATACAGGCCCTGATGTGTTTGGGAATAAGGCATTTGGTTTCTTGGGGATTTAAAGGGCCATCTGGGAATGGGTAGCTCATCCTCTCCTACAGGGGCCTCTGGGTGCAGGTGTTGCTCTTGGATCAGGTTCACCAGCACAGTCTCCATTTTTGGAGTGGCCATCCTGATCCAGAAAGAGGTAGCTAAGGGGAAAGAGATCCACCCAAGGAAGGGAAGCAGGGTAATCTTTGTCACTGATTTATGACATGACCCATAGGCATCACTTTACTTCCGTTAGCCACAGTTGTTCCATCTATCAGAGGGTGTGGACATATGCAGATATCTGCCTGCTTCACGGATATGCAGATCAAATGAGGCAATATAAACAGAAGGGCTTTGAAGTGTATTTTGTTAATAGCTAAAAGTCTAGAAACAATCCAAATGTCCAACAGAGAGAAAAGGCTAGGTTAGGGCTTACTAACAATTCATTCAACAAACGTTTATGGAATCCAAGTGCCAAACAATGTGCTAGGTGGGGGTGGTTACAGAAATGAATAAGTCTCTGCCTAGAGGAGCTCATAGTCCAGTGGGGAGAAAGACACCTAAACACATAATACTGACTCTACTGGTAACCATTTGTTGATCATCAGCTATGAAGTAGACAACATCTCATTTAAAAACCCTGTAAGATACCCTATGAAATAGGTATTATTTTCTTATTTATAGATGAGAAAACTAAAACTGAGAAAGGTGATTTACCAAATATCAGAGTCTGGATAATGGCAGAGATAGTAGTCAAACTCACAGATCTTTGGCACTCCTCCATGCTGGTTTCCCAAAGTTACACTGCCTCAGTAATGTAATATCTGTGGAATAGCAATATAATCAGTTACTATGTTCATATATGTAATTGTATGTAGGCACACTAACATAAAAAAGTAGGACATAAAAATATTCATATAAATTGATCATAAATTTATAGAAATAGCTGTAGGAACACTGATAAAAAACGGAAAAATTTGGAATAATGGAAATACTTCAATGTTCATTTTCTCCGGGGAAATAATTAAAACCATAGAGTGGTATACAAATGCCAGGTGTTGTTGTTACCAGTATTATTATACCCAAGATATTAATCTACTCTTCTCCAGATTCCTTAACCCTTTTGCCATAACGGTCGGATATAGCTGAATGAATATTTCCAGAAAGGAAGTTTAGGAAAGCAGATGTACATTTTTCTGTATCTTTGTGTCTTTCAAGAATGAATAACAATAGGAAATTTTTATGCATAAAATAATGTCATTTATATAAAAGCGGCTCAAATTGTTATTATTAAGTGCATAAAATAGTCAAAATAACTGTTTGGTTTTTTGTAGATTTCTAACGCTTTTGGAAAAAAAAACCTTGAAATCAATGAACTCAGCGAAAGAGTTAACATTGGAACAAGAAGATATGCGTTAAAAGAGCAGGAAGAGATAGAAATGGACACTGGAGGGTTAGCAGTTCCTGAAATGAACCGGTGAGAGGGGAAAGGTGGTACTGAATAATATAGTCTCTGGAGGCAGTGACCTGGGTTCAAATCTCAACTCTGTCTACTACCAGCTGGGTGACTTTGAGCAAGTTACTTCTCTAAACAGTTTCTTCACCTAAGAACTAAGAATAAGCATATTATCCATCTCTTGGGGTTGTTATGAGGATTACAGCGAGGCAATGCCTGGCACATTGTAAGTACTCAGTAAAGCTCCCTACATCTTCCCCCTGCCCCTCCCTCTCTCCTCCTCCTCTCTTCCTCCTCTCCTCTCCCTCCTCCCCCTCATCCTCTTCCTCACAGAGATCCCCACCCAGCCTGTGCTGCCTTCCTCTGTTCTGGCGCCACCCAGTGAGACCTGCAGGGGGCAGTCCTGGTACACTGCCTTCCTCTCCCCAGCCATCTTGCCCCGTTTCTTGTTCCAAGTGGAAATATCGAGTTTTCAGCCGAGATTGGCATCAAGAGGGCTGTTAAAGCCCCAGTCAACACCCCTGTCTCCTGGGCCTGGCCCTGTCACCTGAGCCTTGGGACTGCTAGCCTGCCCCTTTCTGTCCTGCCAAGCGGCTGCTCACGTTGATTCTACTGTGCCAGGAGCTCCGAGAGAAGAAACCAAACTCCCGGGCAAGAATACATTTGCATAGAACTGGCCCCATTTCCTGGAGGGGGATATCACAGGGCAGGCAGGGCCTTGCAGAAGGTGGATCAACCAGCCCCCTGCCTCAGTCGGGACTGCCCTGAACCTAGCCTTCGCTGACAAGGAGGGAGGCTACCAGCCCCACCCCTGATTTACTGATCCTGCAGGCCCTGGACTTTACCTCCTATCTAACCTCAATTTCTATTATCATTGAGCTTGAACAGAGTGAGGGAAGAAAGTTTTCTTAGGTACCAGGATGCTAAAAAATGGGCATGATCCCAGCTTTCAGATATAAGATAAAGAAAGCAACTTTACAAGTTGTGATGATGGGAGATTGGGTTTCGAAATGGAGAATATTGAGAGCAGGAGAGGCACAGCTGGGGCCACATTGCTGTTCTATGAAGAACCTTGATATGAACCTCTCTGTGCAGATGTGTTCCTTATGGCATGTAGCTTGGAGAGCAAGTGGTAATTTTGGGTAATAATAATAATAATAATAATAATAATAATAATAATAATAACAGAAATCCCTTCAGTAGACAGCTCTGAGCCACAGTACAAGAATTGGTAAGCTGAATACAGTTCAGTTCTCAACTTGCCCCCTCAGCAGATGCCTTTGTGCAGTCCACAAACTGTACAACTGTATGTGGCAGCCCTGGGAGCAACCAATCTGGGAAGGTTTCCTTGAGCAAGATCATGAGACTTCTTGAGTAAAAGCTCAGAGGAGGGAGAGCAAACAATGGGGAAAACAGGAGATGGTTGAGGATATGAGTTTAATGGAACAGGGAGGCTGATCTGGTAGATTATAGCAATTTCAATAAATTCAAGGGAGATGGGACCCTAGAAAACTCTGAGCAGAGGGAGGATGTGTTTGAAGCAGTGGATGTGGCTGGAGAGTAGAGTAAATGGGAGAAGCAGAAGACAACTCCAAGACAGATGGAGTCCCCCTGGGCTCCTGAGGCTGAGGGGCTTGCTGGCTTTCTGGCTGTTTTCAGCAGAGATAGAGGACGAGAATATTTCGCAAACATGGATCTATCTTACTTTGTAGGATGGCGTGGAGGTAGAGCAGGATTTAAGTCATGGCATTTAGAGGTGCCAGAATTAGTCCTTACTTTACAGGTAAGGGATGGGTCTCAAGAGAATAGATAGGACTAAGACTTAGGTCTCCTGGGTCCTGGTCCCTGGTTGTTTATTTCCTCGTGCCTTCCTCCTACCATGGTGCATTGGGTATTCATGGAGTTTTGTCTGTTGGATTCAACTGGAAAGGTACTAGTTGAAGAAATCCTGGAAAGAATCCTGTAGTAATGTGATTAAGCATGCCCTAATTTGTGTCTTATAAATGTGAGTTTGTGTAGATCGCATTTATTGAAAGGAGGTGGTATACCTAAATAATGACCTTTAGCAACTGGGCGGAGGGATATATAGTTTAGCCCCTCTCTTGGATTTCTCTCTGGGGTTTGAGTCATCCAGCTATCAGGTCCCCCACTACTCATGGAAATTGTTCAGGCTTGTGGGGCCTGTACACTAAAATGTCACTTGGAATCCTGTAATGAGCATTGTCAGTGTCTCCACTCTTTCCAGAAACTCTGACCGAAGTGCTGTCTGTTCTGAGCCTCAGCATGTCTGCTGCCCCAAGGCTTACCTCATCGCTTCTGGCCACACCTACTTTTCCCAGCAGAAGCCCCTCATGCTGCTGCTCGCTTGTGGATTCTCCCTCCAGAACAGATTACTCATCCCTGCTCTCCTCCCTGTGGTCTGAGGGAGCCCTGCCCCATTATGAACAAGGTGAAAGAAGAGATGAGGCCAATGTTGGAAGGAGTGAGTCTGAAAGCAACAATCAAGAATAAGAAAGATAGGGCCGGCTGAGTGGCTCGTTGGTTAAGAGTTGGCTTGGGACATCGCCTCTGAGCAGCAGGGCCCCGGTTCGGATCCCACATGAAGACCAGTGACGCTGAGCCCTCTACAGCTAAGATGGTGAACAGCTTGACCTGGAGCTGGGCTGCCATGAGTCGCCGTCAGCATAGGCTGCAGCGGGGCTGCAGTGGGCTGCTGTGAGCTACTGTGAGCGGCCGGCAGCTGGCATGAGCTGCCGTAAACCGCCGTGAGCGGCCATCCAGTGGCCAGCGACCGATCTGCCTCATCCGGGAAGAGTGCAATGCTCACAATACCAACATAGGCCAGTGAAGCGACATCCTCCACAACTAGACTGAAGAACAAAAGGACAGCAACTTGTCTGTTCCCCTTCCCCCAATTCCCCAGCACTATTCCCCTCCCCCAATTCCCCAATTAAAAAAAAAAAGAATAAGAAAGATACAGTTTGCTAAACTGAGAGAAGAGGGAGGTCCTCAAAGAAAGATGGTTCCCCTAACTGCCATTTTGTATGGTAGACACTGGACATCACAATCCTGGCAAAGTTTTCATACCAACATGAGCTCATGTTAATTAAGATTATGTTTAAACCATGTAGATTCACTCTAGTATTATCCTGAGACACACTTTGGAGCCAAACACACGTGGATTCAAGTCCCAAATCTAACACTTTCTAGCTATGTTACCATAGACAAGCCACTTAACACTGTCTGAACCTCAGTTTTCCCATCTCAAGTAATATATCTATCTTGCATAATCAACACTCACAAATACTAATTTCCTAAGCTCTTTATCACTCATTCTCTATTGGGATCCTAGTGACTATTCTAGGACTTCTCTTTTGTAGAAAGACCTAAAAATTAAAAACTGACATTTGATCGGTACAAAGGAATATACATGATGGATATATGTATATATGTTATAAAATGTAATTTGAGTACAACTCAATTTAAATCACTCTTAAAATTAGAAAGCTGCAGTGCCATTCAGCTGTGTACTTTTCCATAATCTCTCACTCCTGCAGTTCTAGAATGTCTAAATTCTAATTGCCCAGTCCCACCCCTGAGTTTTAGTAAATGACTCTTATGCTCTACAGAAAAGGTAAAGACTATTTGGAAGAAACGTCTCCAGAGACTTCTCCTTCACCACAAGGTATCTTTTTCTGCTCCTGCTCTTTGTTTCTTTCTTCCCTCCCCTCTCAGAAGAGTACCCTACGGGGTTTGGACTGTGATCAGTAAGCAAGGGGCAACTATTTGGGCTTTTGATACAAGGGCACAGGGACTAACATAATGAATACAGATTGCCTCTCCCTTTGAGACTAGAGAGAAGGGTAAAGAGTGGGTCAGAGTCTTGGGCTGCTAGCAATCTTCCTGATCCGGGTAGTAATCTGGGTGACAGGTGATGGTGTCCTGGACCACAGCCATGATGATGAGATCAAGAGGAAGAGGGCAGAATATAGGAAATTTAGAAAATAGATGCATTGATTAGATAAAAGAGATGAGGTGAGGAGAATGAAGAATCTACAATTGCTGCCATATTTCTTCTTGATTCAAACCATTTTGTTTACCTCCTGATTAATCTTTCTAAAATTCTGCTATGGCTTTGCCAACACCCCCCCACCCACCACCACTCAAGAACTTGCAGTTGCTCTCCATTGCCTTCAGAAGCTCAGGACTGACCATGAACTAGCATAGCTCTATATCCTTCAGGTCTTCCTCCCAAGGCACTCTGCCTATGGTGCCTGACTTGTAGCCCAATAGGTGCTATTTGAAATATACATGTACCCATTGTATCGCTTTCGGAGGCTGAACTAAGCTAAAATTTCAAGTTTCTATGCTTTTTTTCCCAAGATGTATATCAACTTAATATGGTAATACTGGTTACTGATTAGTAGTTAAATATCTATGATGAACAAAAATGGGAAAATAATTATTTTCTCCCTTAATAAATGCCAAGGGTGGGAGATGGTGAATAAAAACCTCTCAAAACATGGATTAAGATGATAATGTAATCCTTGGTGATGAAAAGATTGAGTGCCACCACCCTGTCCTCAAGTCCAAGGGACCAGCTTGCGGCCGTTTCCCAAGCAGACTTGTATTTTTATGTCCCCCAAGGACTTTGCGAATGCAGTTCTCTCTGCCTGAAATGTCCTCCCCACCATCTCCCAGTACCTAAGTCGTCCGCATTCTTAGGGCCCTTATCAGATGTCACCGGTGTCCTCCACATCTTCCAGGACCCCCTAAGTACAGTGATCTTTCCCCGTTCTGCAGCCTCCAGCGCCCTGTCTTTCCTTCCAGAACCAGCGCTGCATCTCCCATCCAGGATCTCACCCAGTACTTCGGGAACAGTGAACAACATGGAAATCGTGCTGAACGAAATAACCCTGTAGCCCCCGGAGCCCAGCCCCAGTCCGCTTCACCGGGCTGCCCTGAATGCGTTTCCACAGTAGCTCGGCCCAGACCTGCCCCCACCGGTTCCCGCTGTGTTCCCCACTCTGACATGACCGCCTCCTTCTTCCTTCTCTTTTCCCTGTCATCTTGCCAGAGCAGCTTCTATCGCTTCACGGATCGTCTCTTCGTCTCTTTCCCGCGAGCCTGTCTGGGTCTCCGTCTTCGCGTGTTGCGCTCTGCCCTGCGTCTCCTTCCGTCTAGGCTCCGCTCCGGAGCCCTCTACGCCCCACCCCCTGTCTGAGTTTCTCCAATCCCTACAGCGCGGGCTCGCGCTCCACGCTCCCATTGGTCGATCCCCCCCCCACCGCCCTTCCCTCCCGGCCCCCCTCCGGGCCCTCCATTCACACAAAGTTTGGCTCCAGCGCTGAGGAGGGAGGGGGCGGCCCGGCCCGGCCCAGCTCTGCCCCCAGCCGGCCCGACCCCGGCTCCGGCCCCCGGACCAGCCCTTATCTGATCCCGGCTCCAGTTTAAGAGCTCTGGCCCTGCCCGTCGCACAGCTCTGTTCCTTACTCCTGCCCGTCCCTTCGTCTGTCTGTCCCGCTGCCCATCCGAGGGGCCACTCCACGCGGACCCGAGGTAAGCCCCTGGCCCTGATGAGGGAGTGCTGCCGCCCCGGCCGGGGTCCTGTCCACCTCACCCTCCAGAGATATCGGGGCCCCAAGCCCCTGGGTCCCTACCTTGGCTGGCCTCAGCGGTATGGCCCTATTCCCCAGCCTCTCGCCTTAGGCGGCCCCACACTGACCTTCCTGGGAAGGGCTCCCCATAAGGTAACTTGACCCAAGCTGGTCACCTATGTCCTTTAGACTAAGGAAGGGGCTTTCCTGATGCTCCTTGCCACTGGGAAGACCTGCAGTTGCATCACAGCTCCTCCAACAAATACAGTGGCCACCACCCTATAACCATGCATCCCCCACTCTGGCACTCCAGACAGCACCCCCTCTTCCCAGGATCATCAGGTTACTTCCATTCCCATGCCCAGCACCTGCCCCCTGCCCCATACAGGGACACTCACATAGTGACACCCACTGATCACTAGTTCACACATGGGAAGACAAACACATACAGCTTAGATGAGGGATCCTCAGTAGCCTGTTGTGCCTGGGACCCCTACTCACCCAGTCTCTTCTCTCCATTCTGACTTACCTTCCATTTCAAGACACTCCTCCCCGTTACTACTCCCCTCCCCCAGATGTTTCACGCTGAGATCCCCGGAGGAAAGCAGCAGGGCCACTCCTGCTAGAGGAAGAAAGGTAGATTGGACTCACATTCACCTTCAGATGGAGATGCCCTTCTCATCCCACCCTTTTCTCTCCATCAGCAGCTAAGGGCACCTGTGTTCAGAAAGACATGAGGGTTGGCACTTCCTGATTTGGGGGAGGAGAGCTGAACCCCAGGATGGCTAGAAGGACAAAAGTGGGCAAAAGGGGAATAGCACCTCTATTATCTTGAGATTTCATTTCTGTTAATGAAGTGCCCCAGGCAGAGTGAGGCAAATGGGGTAGTGGAGATACTGAAGAAGCCAGTAAAAATTTGCACCCAAAGGAGGCCAAGACTTAAAGTCTGATCATGTTGCTTATCATAGGAATTCTGGCTAAAGATTTTTGACCAGTCTGCCTTGATTGTAGGGTTTGAATTCTTTTCTGTACCAGGGCTGCTTTAGGCAATTCTAGATGGGAGGGAGATGATAATGGGAGATTTGGTATCTTTATGTGAGGAGTGTCACTTGCTTCGGGGTGCTGAGAAGGGCCTGGCGTGGGTATAGAGACAAGCCTGAGGAAGGGCCAGCGGCCACCCCTGGGTTCCATTTAGTTTCATCCCCAAACCCTCTCTCTAATCGCCAAGGATTTCTGAACCTGTTCCTGGCATGATGGAAGGCACCATCCTGTGTGGAGGGGTAGGACTTGTTGATTCCTCAGCGTATAGACTGGGTATGGGGGACCAAGTGTAGAAGGAAGCAGGTGTCCTGGCTCGTAGCTAGTTTTTCAGAGAGGAGGAAATGAAGGAAGAGGGGGAGGGAAGACGCCGCGCCTGGGAGAGGGGCCAGGGCTGGTCTGCGGAGGCAATAGGCATGGCCCAGGCGGTGCCAACTCCTTTTCCCCCACCCCCCCCACCAAGTCCTTTGGTGGTGGTGGCAAGGGAGGGAGAGAGGGGGTGTTGGGGGGTGATCTGGGCCAGTCCAGCCTCCCAAAGCCTTTGCCAATCTGGGTCCTGAAAGGAGCTGCTGTTTTCTGAGCCATCCCCCCAGCCCCCACCCAAAGCCTGAGCAGCCAACTTGTCTCAGTGGATATCAAATGGCAGTGATTCCACTGTGTGTGTGGGGCGGGGTGGGGGGGGAGCGGGGGAAGGTTACGGTCCCATTCCTTCTGTGGTTCTAATGCAGAATCCCACTGCTGCCCTCTACCCTGAGGGAGAAAAGGTCTATCTCCCCAACATGCGTCCCACAAGCAATCTATTGACACATATGTTTGTGTGGAAGAATTCATGGTCTGCCCTCTGGAATCCCCCACCTCCTCCCTGTGCCCCACTGAACAGCACCTGTGCCACGCACCTGCACCTCTATGCATGAGCTCATTTATAGCTCCAGTTTGGTTGGCTTGGACTGTAAGGGAAGGGCCTGGCAGAAGACCTAGAGGCCTCCTTCCCTTGCCTTCCCTAGAGACCAGAAAGGCTGGGACACTAGGATCTGGGTGGGCTCAGATGAAGTCCTCTGGGGTCCCCTGGGAGTGGTGGGATAAAGGATTTAGGGCCCTGGGGATGAGTCATGGAGGAACGGCCACCTCCTCAGAGGAAAAAAGTCCTCCTGAGCCTCCTAGCAAAATGCAAGATAGAAGATAGGTTGAATCCGCTGGCATTGGTGGGGAAGGAAAGAGACATTGGGCAATGGAGCCCCTCAACTTCCCTGCCAAGGGTTATTTAGGATGGAAGGAAAAACCTCCACTCTCCCTCCCCTTTCTGGCCTAGATTCTTCTCTTGCCTGACTGGTCAGTGCTACTGTCCGGGCTGAAGCCAAGCTGTCCAGGGTAGTGCTGAGGCCCTAGAAGGGGGCAGAGAGACAGGATAATCTGAAGCACACCATGGAGGTGAAACAGCAAAAAGACTGGAGAGAAGGGGAAGATTGGAATCCAAGTGTTTTAGCACCCAACGAAGGGTGGTTGGCCGGGCCAGCTCCTGGGAATCAGAGCTTTTTGAGTTTACCACATCACCCCACTCTACCACAGCCTGAGTTCATTGCTTATCTTCCTTCATCCAAGTTTAACGTATGTGTTGCCACCATTCTTCATGGAGACAGTGCATTTAGGTGGCCCCTCTTCATCCCCTCCCCCACCATCAGAACCTTGAAAGGGCAAAGAGAAAGGGATTGTGGGAAAAACTCTCTCGTGGGTGTTTGCCAGCTTGGAACTGGAGTTGAGGTAGTGGGGAGAAGGGAGGGGTTGACTCTGGAATGTGGGAGAGAAGTAAGAACTGAACTGTGTGGCCTGGAGACAGAGGATGGAGAAACAGGACCTTGAGAGACTTGAATTAGCACTTCGGGCCTATAAAAAGGTGTGACATAGAAAGGGTGTATGTGGCCATCTGCTCCTCTTCCAATGGCAGAAGATCTGGGAAAGGGGTGAGGCTGCATCTGGAAGGACTTAGGTTAGATTTCAAGAAGCCTGTCCCATAAAAGGAAAGAAACCTGAAATGGAGATTGAAAAAGAAAGGGAGACCACCTTCTGGACCAAAAAATAAAACAAAACCCAAAGTCCCAAAACAAAGCCAATTATGAAGGATTACCGTGGCAGCTGTCAAGAGGCCTCTCCTGGGTGTCTATCCCATGCAACAGCACTGTCCTCCAGCTCCTTTCTGTTCTGGCTTTGTCTGAGAGGCAGTAGGTGTAGTGGTTAAGAGCCCAGCCTTGGAGTCAAACTTGCTGGGTTTAAATCCTGATTTCACCACTTAGCTACACAAGTCTCCTCATCCTTACAATAGGGCTAATAATAGTTGTGGATTGAAAGAGTCAATATTTGTAAAGGGCTTGGAATGGTGCTTAGCCTGGAGAAAGTGCTCTGACTTTTTCTATTCTGTCATCTTTCCTGGCTCCTGGGCCTTTCCCCAGCCCTTCATGTGGTTTTTCTGAGGTTCTGTCCTAAGTCTCCATCTCTTCACCCTTCTAGAGTTTGGGAAGGTGGGAGAATTATCACATAGTTTAAGATGAGTTTCCGATCTTTATTCCAATAGGCTGGCCAGCACCAGGGCCTGGATTTCCGCACCATTGCCCCTTCTTCCCAGGCTTTTCACCAAGCAGAAGTCCTATCTTTAACTCAGATTCAGTAACTGGAGCTGCCCCAAGACAGTCTCTTTCCCTGTTCTGAGCAACTTCTCTCAGCTTCTCTCTACCCAGCCTCTCACCCCTGTATGCCCACGACCTTCTCTGTCCATTTCCCTGCCCATGTTTCCCCCCATATCTTCTCTCAGGTGGATGTGCCCTCCCCTTCTGCTGTCCCCTGGTCAGCCTATCCATCTCATCAACCTGGGCACCCACATTATGACTTCTCTGACTCCAGCCTGCCTCTCTTCTAGATTTCTTCTCTACCTTACCACAGAATTGTCACCGTGAAGCATCAGTTTTATCTTGCTCGTTTCCTACCGAGACATCCCATTGGTTTTCAGATGAAAACTTCCAATCATAGTCTTCAAGATACTTTATGTAAGCCTTTTTCCCTGTCCCCTCCAGCATCCCCATTTTGGGGGACTGCCCCATTCAGACTTTGTTCAAGGGGAACATATTTGATGACAATTCTGAGCCACGCTCTTTCTCTCATTCTGGGCCTTCACACAGATCGTTTCGAGTCCTCCCCTCTTGCCAGTCTCCATTCCCCTGTTTCCCTGTCTGCTCTGTCATCTTGAACCCCCTTCTCCTCAGCATGCTGCTTGTCCCTTGTCCCTTGTGTCTGTCACTTTGCGTAGGATGCCCAATTCAGTGATGATGTTGGAGGCGATATCCTGTCTCCTTCATTACATGGGGGCTTCTCTAAGGTTGGGCCTCAGCCTGTGTCAGGTTGCGGACTCCCTGAAATGAAGGTGTCTCTTTCCACCCCAGACCCTCAGCCCCAGAGCATCTGCTGACCAGCTTGGCTCTAGCTAGGAGACGTTTCTGATTGCTGATTCTGGTGGGGAGGACCCTGGTTATGAGTGTCCCAAAGTAGGGAATATATATATGTAAGACCCTATTATCCAGCCTCTCCTACCAATGGGCCCATCCTGTGGAGATGGTGTCACTGAAGATGATAAGCATCAGACCCTAGAACCCCCAATTTCCAGTCCTTGAAGCACTATTAGCCCAAACACTAAAATCCATGTGGGTATCCCGGCACCACAGACCCTTTCTCTCCTCACCAGGGAGGTATACTGCACCTGATGCTGGGCTTGTCAGCAGGCATGCAAAATGGAACAAGGGCCAAGGTCAGACAGTGTGAGATAGGCCCATTGTCTCCAGCATACCTCTGAGCAGTGTCTTGAAAGCTGAGAGACATGTGTGGACACCTCCCAAGTGGGGGGTAGGCCTGAACTCATAGTCTTACATTCTCCCAGGACTGTCCCCTCATCTCCACCCCTGAGGCTAGACCCAACCACGAGACCCTGGCACACACCTCCTCCCCACATCTAAACCCCCCTGTTTGACCCTTTGATAAAAATGACACAGGCAACTGGCAAGAAAAGGGGGTGTGTCTGCGTTGAGGGCAGTGGGTCTCAAACTTTTTGATCTCAGGATCCCGTTACACTCCTAAAAATTATTGAAGATACCCAAGAGGTTTTGCTTCTGTGGGTTATAGCTATTGATACGTTAGAAATGAGAACGGAGGAGACTTAATTAGTTATTAATTCATTTAAAAATAACAACAAACTCATCGCATGTCAACATAAATGACATTTTTAATGAAAACATAGCTATTTTTAAGAAACAAACAAAAGTTTAGTAAGAAGAGTGGCAAAATGTCTCACGTTTTCACAGATCTTTTTAACGTCTGGCTAACAGAAGACAATTGATTTCTCATAACTATGTCTGTATTCATCATGTGGCAATATTGTATGTCATGTATGATTCTGGAAAACTCCTCTGAACACTTATGAGAGAAGTAAAGTGAAAAAAACAAACAACGTATTAGCATTATTATGAAGATAAATTTGACCTCAGGGAGTCTCTGACAGACTCTCAGGGGTGTCCTGGACCACACTTTGAGAACTACTAGTCTAGAGGAACCTCAGAAAACAGTTTCCAAAACTCCCTGGCCAATCTGGACATCCTGACTGATCTCCTTTAGCTGCTCATGGTCTTTTGAATGTTTTTACTAGGGATGAAGTATGGGGCCATAGTTAATCATGTGGATTCTGGAGACAGACCACCTACTTGAGCTTGAATCTCAGTTCTACCCCTCACTAGCTGCACGACCTTGGGCAAATTATTAGCATCTCTGTGTTTCAGTTTCTTCATCTATAATATAAGGTTTTTAGAAAGTGCCTACTTTTTAGAGTTGCTGAGAACTAAATGACATAATACTAGAAAAGGGCTTAGCATAGTGATGAATAATGTGAGCTCTTATTAATTCCAGAGCCTTGCCCCCGAGTTCACTGCCCATCGACCCAGAAGGCAGGGAGCTACAGAGGTGATCCTTCCCGTGTTACAGAGGGGGCGTCTTGGCCCAGAAAGGGAAAGTACTTGTGCAAGGTCCTAGGGAAAGTTAACAGGTGTGTTTAAAGTTAACGGGTGTGTTGGGCCCTGAACCCAGTAGTTCTAATTCCTAGCCTTATGCTCTCCTCACCAGATTTTTCCAGGGGTAGGGGAGGACTAGGGGGGTGAAACCAAGGTCCTAAGAAGGGGAAGGAAGCAAACCTTACCTTTCCCCCAGCAATCCAGGTGAGTCATCCAGGGCCCATGGTGGTACAGCAGGAAGCCTTGAGGGCAGGTAGCAGGGAGGACATAGTAACATCACAGCAACTGAAAAGAGAAGAAAGCCAGGAGAAGACATTCCTAAACCTAGAAGATCTTTCTGTCTTGCCTTGTGGGGAACAGTTCTGTAAAGTGGCCCCAGCCCTCTCTCCCGGGGGTTGCTGGTCCGGGGCAGAGGAAGTCTGTGATTGGGCAACGCTGCTTCGCATGTGGTACCTGAAGCCCCTTCCCAGAGCACTGCCTGCTATCAGTCCTGCCACCATTCCAAGCCCGCTCCTTTGCCCAGGCTATCCTGCCCTGCCCTCTGTACTGGGGTGCCATAGGACGGGGCACTGCACCTTGGGAAAGGCAGCTGGTGGTGCCGAGGTTGTTAGTGGGGGTGGGGGGTCCTCTGGGCAGGAGAAGAGAAGCCTCTCACTACAGCATGAAGCAGGGGATGAGGCAGATGAGGAGACAGACAGCTACACGCTGGGGAAGAGCTAGTCCTGGCCTTTGGGCCCATCAGGCAGTTTCTCCTGAGCTGGGATGCAGGAGCCATCTTCATCAGAATCCCAGTTACCAGAGAGTCCTGAGTACACACCCTTTCTGCATTCCTGAGGTTCAGATCCCACCCGCAGCCCCTAAGACAGCTCTGAGACGCCACAGGCTTCGGTTTGAGATCTTGCTGCCTGTTGCTCCGTTTCTTTTCTCCTGCCCACACAATTCCCTTGAATAAAAGGGTAAAACTGAGGCAAAAAGTGGGTGGACTCAGACTGCCCACCACTTCTTTCCAGAGCCTGCCTGAAACCAAGGGGTCTGGCTTCCCACAGCCCCTCCTCCCCCATCCCGACCAGTCCCCGTGGCTTTTTCCACTTGGAAAGTCCTTTCTGGAGAGTGTCAGGCTTGGGGACCCTGGTCTAGCTTCCCTGCCCTGTCTCCTGGGCAGTGCCCCCCGGAGAGCCCCCAGTGGTCTAAGATCTCTTCAGTCTCAGCCTTGCCCCACCCCCTGCCTCCACTGGCGTGGCTAGCAGTCCCGTATCTCCTGCCCCTGGGCTGTGGGACAGGGAGAGAGAGGGCTGAGGGGCTGGCTCTGCATACTAATGTCCTGCCCATTGTCAAAGCCCCTTTGTGCCAGAGAGCTCCATTGAGGCGGCTCTGGGGCGGGCACAATGGGGGCTCTGTCCCCAAGTTCCCCCAAACAGTCACCTGCTTTCAGAGCCTCCCCTCACCCGCCCCAGTGTCCAGAGGGCCCAGAGAGTGTGGGGGAGTGGGCCCAGGGCCAGGGGGGATGGGCAGGAGGAGCACCCCCCCACACACACACTCCCTAGACAGGCTGAGGAAATGGGCACACAGAGGGGAGAGGCCCCACTTGGCAGGGCGGGGATAGCTGCGGATGGAGCTGGAATGCAGGTTCTGTGCGGCCAGCAGAGAGAAGGGGAATGGGCACAGCCTGCTCATTCCTCAGTTCCACTTGCCCAGCTGGGCCAGGCTGCCACCTATCCTCCTCCTCTCACCTCAGGACTCATATATGCAGAGACACACAGGCACACACTTATCTATGCAGCTCCACACACCGCACAGGGAGCGGATGTACCCAAACACGGCAGCCACTCTAGGCGCACAGACCTGCCCGCCACAATCCACTTGCAGATGGCCCTGCACACATGCCCTTAGCCCACCCCCCACCACCAGCCTCTGCCAGCTCAGCACCATCCCCCCACCTCATGCCCTCACTGCCCCCTCCTGCTCTGACACAGGTTATAACAAGTTTGCACTTGTTGTGACCTCGAGAATGTGGCCCTGGGGCTGGGAATGTCCCGCTGCCCTGACCCACCTGCTTATACGTTAACTACAGACACGGCCTCTGCTGAACTCTGAGCATAGCACCTCCTGAGCATAGCCAACTATGGAGGAGCTGTGTGGGCAAGATTCTTGCCCCCCCAGAGCTGAGCCAAGCACACTGGAGGAGCTCTGTGTGAATGACCAAACCCTGGCCTGCTGGAGCACAGGCCCAGAGGGACCATCCTTGCATTTACAGTGCATGTGGCTATGTCACAGCCTCTCATGGCCTTGTGAGATAGATGGGACAGTTATCATTTTCCCTGAGAGAGGTGACATGATGTGTCTAGGTGGCAAGGCTGGGACGAGAATGGAGGTTTCTTACCTCTAGGTTTTTTTTCTGTGTGTGTGTGTGTGTGTGTGTGTGTGTGTGTGTGTGTGTGTGTGTGGTTTTTTGGTGTTTTTTTTGAGGGTCACTACCTGCCTCTTGGCTTCTCTCAGATGACCCACCCCCACTGTGGAATTTTCACAGAGCTATGTTTTACCCACCTTCCTTAGGAAGGAATAGAAAAGTGGGGAGGGTGAACAACAGGTACAGGGACCTTTAATAGGATTCTGGGTCTACACAAAGGTCACCTTGACCTGTCCACTGCCTCCAGGCAGGATGAGGCTACCTCCTTTCATTCCCTACCCTATCTTTGGCCCCATTCCCCTCCTGATTTGGGGATGGCTGGAGAGAGAAGCCCAATGACCTTCTCGATAGGGTTTAGCCTTTGAGATCTCTATTAATTACAAGTCCTTTGTGATGCCTGGCTCTGATCTTCTCTGCTAATATCCTATGTCTGTATAGGATCCGTAGGGGGTGTCTATGTCTCCTACTATTCTGGTCTGGAGTATCTTCTGGAAATCTGGAGCAGGAGCCCTAAAAAGGAAGGAGATGGAGGGCCAACCAGGACCCCAAGGATTTGAGGGCTGCACAATACTGTGCTGGAACCTGGGGTGGATGTGGTCAGAGCTGCAGAAACTGCATCAGATGGAGAGATAAGCTGATACTGGTTTGCTCATCTACAGATATTATCAAGTGTTGATCTGATTCCCTTACATCAGAATAGTACACACCCTCACAGGACCCTTCTACTCCTTAACCCTGCTCCTCACTTAGAATGTTCCCCTCTGGCTGCAGGATTCTGCTTAAGCCACCTCATCCAGAGCACGCCTCCTCAACCCTTGTACCCTGGTGTGGTTCTTCTGTCTCCAAATGCCCCTTCCAATGTCCCTTGTTGGTGAAAGGGCCCACCCCAAGTATAACTTCAACCCCTCCAGCTACAGCAGGCAATTAGCTACGGCAAGAGGGAAGACATGGGCATAGCCACCTCTGAATCTAGTTCTGCATCTAGTCAGTGTCTTCATGCCACCCCTATCCTATCTTTCTTTTCAAACAAGGAAAGTGGATAAGGAATAAGTGGAAAGTTGGGGAAGGGGTAGAGAGATCCCTCCCGGAGTGATCCCCTTAGACTTCTCTGTGTGAGGGTCAGAGGTTGCTCCTCATATATGGGACCAGGAGCCCTGAGAAAGAAAAGGAGTTGAGAGGACCCCTGTCAGAGAAGGCGGCTCAGTTGTCTGAATATGCATCCTAAGTACAGAGTACCTATGGGTCTCCATCTCCACCAAGATAAAAATAAGACTAAACTGCTTAGGCAACAGCAGGTAAATTTTGATATAACAGGAAACATATCTTGAATATAAGGTTTTACTAGGCAAAGGGGAAGGATGGAAAGAGATGGAGAACTCACATCCCCCAGTGAGAAAGGAAGGTCCCTTATTGAACAAAGGCTGGTAACCAGGGAGAGGAGATCGTTCTAAGGACACTCAGAACGCCTATGGGCCATGGGATTTCCAGTTGTCTCAAAGAAGTCCCTTGCCCATTTTCACACCTCCAGCAGAGAGCATCATTGAACTTGTCCCCTCCCAAAGGGCCCGCAATTTGCTGGTTTTTTCTTGATTTTCTTGTCGGCTTATTTCTGGGCCAGCTGCTGCAGGGGTGAGGAGAATTCCTGACACTTGGGCAGGGCACAGTGAACACCTCCTGGGCTGTGGCTGTGGTTGGACAGGGGAATAGCTCAGTGGATGATGTCCCAAGGTTGACTCCACACCACCTGGCCCTTCAGACCTGAGGGTCAAGAAAGGATTTTGTAGGAAGAGGGACTTTGGGATGAGGAAGAAGGTCAGGGTTATTGCTTTGATTCTGATTAAAGTCACATGTGCTACTAGCCATGTGGATGGAAAAGTTACTCAGCTTTTCTAGGCCTGGACTTCTTCAGTGAAACGAGGGGATTTTACAGGATGACCACGAGGGCCTCCCATCATGGATGTTCTATGACAGTACAGCGGCAAGGTGAGACGCATGCACTGTAGTTTAAGCAGGCTTCGGTTCAAATTGCAGTCACCTGTTACTTCCTAGTCCTCTTGGGCAAGTCAGCTACCCTTTCTGAGTTTGGTTTCTACTCCATCAGTGTGAAGATAATGGCACTACCCACCTCCCAGGGAGGATAGGATGAGGGGGTGAGCGAACACCCAGCACAAGTCCTGGCTCATTGTAGAGACTGAGGTGGGGGAGTTCATGGCACTGTGGGAGCACATATGAGGGGCCACAACTCCCACGAGGTGTGTGGGCATCTGGAAAGGCTTCCCAGAGAAAGTGACATCTAAGCTGAGGCCTGAAGGGGGCATAGAGATTCACCAAGCAAGGTGAGGAGAGAAAGAGTGCTCCATGGGAAGAGGCTCCATTATTTGCCAAGAATTGTTGTTGGTAAGAGAAAGCGGAGCCTGGTCAAGAGCTGAGAGAAGCTTAATGTGGCTGGAGGGCAGAGTGTGTGTGTGAGGGGGTGGATAGAGCAGGACACTGGCACCGGAGAGGTCAGCAGAGGTCAGGTTATTACGGCATCTGTTCTACCTGTAATTCTAGGGACTTAAGAGCTAGTGCCCCTCTGCTCCCCTTCTATCTTTCTTTTCTAATTCTTTCTCCCTACCTCCCAAGTCTCAGTTCTCTTGTCCTTGGTCACATGGGAACAAGGAGACACTGGGCTTCCCAGAAGGACCTGTTTGGTCCAGGGAGAAGCTCAAGTCTAAAGTTATCCAACTGTAGACCAGTTTTTGGCCCAGGCCTGAAGTTTTCTGCCTCCCACCATGAAAGAGGAAGCTAGTGCCCATAGAAGCCTCTGGATGTCTGGCACGAAGGCCCTCCTGTTAAGTATTGTGCACCCTCTTTGGGCCTCAGTTTTTCCATCTGGCTCCCTCATCACAGAGAGTTGGGATAATGGTGGCGGTAGGCTGGGGGCAGCATGGAGTGAGGCCTGAGGAAAACAAGAGAAAAGATGGTTCTTCAGCTTGGAGTAAAGGCTGGTGGAGGAGAATGAGCCAGTGCCCCCAACTGTTGGGAGGTTGAAACTTCAATAGGAAACTTAGAGGGAAAACGTCCCAAGGAGGGAGCATATTGCACACCGAAACAGGGCATGAGGGAGGAAACAGGAACGTAGATCAATCCTACAGGCTCTTCTAAACTGAGAAACACTTAGCCAAAGCTCTATACCAGGGACTGAGGAGGACACAAAGATGAGCAAAATATAGGTTAAGAATCAGTTCAGAAAAGATTCCCCTGTTTGGGAAGGTGGGCGTTGTCTTTCCTGGAAGAAGTGGGGAGACGAAATGACCCTTATGGGAGCTGCCCCTGAGGGTGCTTCCATTGTGGAGTGACTCTCCTGCCTCCCTGCCTACACTGCCCTTTGGACTTCCCACCAGCTAGGCCCAAGCCCTTCCTTATCACGAATCAGTGCAACCTCTAAGATCACAGATAAGAAAGTGTGTAGAGAAGGGGCCTTTAGCTGGGATCTAGCTGGCCTGCCTCTCTTTTCTCAGGTAGAGAACCCCCACTGGTCCTGGGACCCTCAGGAACAAGTCCCATCAGCTCGGCCCTCCTCTGGTTTCTCAGACTCTGGTTGCAGATCTTGTGACAGCTCAGTGGCTCACTGGCCTCCACCCAAAAGAACTTATCTCCCGGGGGCCCGGCCATCCTGGGCTTTGAGAAGACTTCCAGCTGCCTGGAGCCACCAAGGCTGGGGACAAGCAGGAGGGCAAGAGGCCAAAGGGCAGGAGTTGAGGAACTTGGCTCTGTGCAGCACCCCTCACGGCACACCTCCCCGATCTCTCCGCCGGTTGGAAGGGTTTTGGAGGGAGCCTCCTCTTGGGAATTATAGGAGGTGGGATAAAGCACAGTAGGTTGGAAACCTCCTCCAATTCTGGGACTATGGTAAATCCTACCCCACGAATCACTGTTCTCCTAGAGAAAGGAGAAATAAGGCAGGGGTTTACCTTGAACATCATCAAGCCCACTGGGGTGTGGAGAGGCAACGTGACTGAAAGTCCACGGGACTG